TGATAGTCAGACCCCTTGGTCATCGTACAAAAAGCAGTTTGAGGCAGCAGCGACAGCGAATCTTTGGGAAGAAGAGCAGAAGGGTACAGCCTTGGTAATAGCTTTGCGAGGTGCAGCGCTGGAGATACTCCAAACTCTCTCCGAAGAAGACAGGAACAGATACAGTGCCCTAACTGCTGCTCTGGAACTTCGATTTGGGGATGAACATCTGAGACAGGTTTTTGCGGCCCAAGTGAAGACAAGAACCCAGAAAGTTGTAGAATCCCTTCAAGAATTTGAAGCAGATGTCAAGAAACTGGTACGTCTTGCATACTCCGACGCACCACCAACTTTTCAAGAGAGACTGGCGACAGAAACTTTCGTAAATGGCATTCACGACGTTGAAGTTAAGAAGGTCATACAACTATCAAGGTATCAGACATCATCTGAAGCCTTGATTCGTGTGCTGGAAGTGGAGGTGGCGTACAATTCTTCAAGAATTTGCCACAAAGTCAGAGTGGTAAAACTGGAGGTGGAAGAAAATGACGGAATAAAGAAGATACTGGAAAAACTGTCACAACAAATGGATGGTATATCTCAAGGATTAAGGATTAGAGAATGGTATGGCTCGCAAGAGAAGCCTAGAATGCTGTAGATGTGGGCGCCAGAGACATGTCAGAGATTGTCGCGCTCGATCACCAGCTCCGGGGATAAGCACACAACAGGAATCTCCTCAACGGAATGTGCAAGAAAATTAAAAACAGTCAGTACTTTGGGGGATGTGCTGGCTGGTGTGAACAAGGCCCTCAGGGAAGTGCAGATAAGAAATTTCATCAGAGGCAGTAGTCCAACTATAATGGGAAAGATTAATGGAAATCCCGCTGCGATCACGATCGATACTGGAGCTGAGAACTCGTGGGAGCTAAAGACCTAGCGACTTCATCCGAAACAATCAGATTGAAGACAGTGACTGGACTAACTGGAGAGTCGGCGCCAATCATGGGCCAGGCAGAAGTAGAAATTTACATTGGTCAACAGAAGATAAGACATCGCGCTCTCGTGGCTGGCTTCAAAGATGACTTCATTCTGGTAATGGATTTGATTAGCCGCCATGGATTGATGGTCTATTCAGTGGAGAAAGTCCTACGTCTTGACAATGAACAGTTCATCCTGAATCAATGCAGTATTGAATCCAAGCCTATAAGATTGATCGCGTGCGAGAATGTGAAAGTCAGAGGGAATGCAGAAACGATTGTTTCAGTCAGAGCAAAAGTCAAACCCGGATTTGCCCTCGGCATTATTCAACCACTACATGCCCCCAAGAAGAATCTCGTGATTTCGAGTGCTTCAGTCAATACCGAAAATGACATACCTGTACGCGTCGCAAATGTTTTTCCCAAACCCCTGAACAATAAGAGTGGGGAGATTCTTGCCGTCTATGAACCAGTCACGAAGATAGTTCATCATAACGAAGGTCTTTCTGATAACACTGATGAAGAAAGAAAAAAGTAACGTAGAAACCAAGAAGGACAGTTACCCGCTTCCACGAATTGATGACACGCTCACAACATTATCAGGATCTGCCTGGTTTTCCACATTAGACGTAAAAAGTAGCTACAGGCAAGTTGGTATTCATCCAAAAGATAAGGAAAAGACCGCTTTTTCTGCCGGGAGTGGTTTGTATCAGTTTACCGTAATGCCTTTTAGACTCTGTAACGCTCCGGCTACTTTTGAGACCCTGATGTAGATGGTATTACCAGGGCTAACATGGAAAACATGTTTGGTTTATTTAGACGACATCATGGTAGTGGGAAAGACATTTGAGGAGCACTTGACCAACCTAGAAGAAGTATTTAGTCGAATGAAGGAGGCAGATTTAAAACTGAATCCGAAGAAATGCCTCCTCGTCCAAAAAAAGTCAAATTTCTGGGACACACCTACTGTTTCGGCAAACGGGATCAAAACTACCGAAACGAAAATTAGGGCAATTCGCGATTGAAGAGATAAGCACGAAGTCGGGAGTTTCTTGGGATTGTGCACGTACTATAGAAGGTTTGTCAACGGGTTTGCTGATATTGTTGCTCCTCTGCACAGACTGACGGATTTGAAGTCTCAGTTTAATTGGACTGCTGAATGTGAGACAGTCTTCAAAAGATTGAAGAATACACTATGCTCTAGTGCTATTCTGTCCTACGCTCAATCCTCGGGAATATTCATCTTGGACACGCAAGCAACATCGAAATAGGTGCCGTATTGTCACAGGGGCAGGACAAAGAAGAAAAAGTCGTCAAGTACTTCAGCAGCGTACTTTCCAAACCCGAGAAGAACTACAGTGTTACGAGGAAGAAGTTGCTGGCAATTGTCAGGGCTGTAGAACACCTTCCATAAGTATCTCTAATTCTCTATGGACGCGAATTCCTGATTAGAACCGATCACGCAGCCCTCACACGGCTCCTTCCGATGAAGAATCCCGAGGGACAAGTGGCTAGATGGCTTGAACGACTCCAACAGTATCACTTCAAAATTCGACACAGGGCTGGTAAGCTACACAATAATGCGAAATCTTTGTCGAGAAGACCGTGTAAGAACTGCAAACACTACAAGATCGAGCAGCGTAAAACGTCGTTCAACTGTGGCAAGACAGCATTCGTAGAAGATGAAGAATGGGATACAGCACAGCTTAGAAAGACCATGAGGAGGACGTTGATATCGGGCCGTTGCTCAAACGGAAAGAAAATGGGGCAGAACGGCCAGCTTGGTCGGAAATATCAGACGAGTCATCCTCTTTCAAGGCGTTATGGGCTCAGTGGGACTCTCTGCTTGACGAAAATGGATTGCTTAAGCGAGCTTGAGAGACCGCATGGGAAACATACCACCATGCAGTTGGTGGTTTTGGCCATTAGAACCAAGGAAGTACTTAGAGAAATGCACAACGGTGGTTTTGGTGCTCATTTTGGAATCATCAAGAAGCTTTCTATTGCTACGGTGTTAGGTAAGCAAAGTTCGTCGGTTGGAGGAGACAGGGGACCGGACTAGCTACAGATAGGGTGGGTAGGTATCGGGAACAGCGCCACTGCCTGTCAAGAATTGTTCCTGTACCTCCAGCGCTTAGCAAACGACGACTCCACAAGCAGACGTATGACTAAAACTAAATTAACTTCACTATCTGGACCTGATCGCTTCGTGGCGAAGGTCGTAACCAGACGACAACAAAAAAAAAAAAACACTGCTCAAGTTAAAATAGAATAAAAGCGGTTTAATTTGGAAAGAAAAAGATTTGCACTGCGAACTTAAATAAAATGGTGGAGTGAACTTCAATAAATTATGGCATAATTCAATGAAATGAATGACACGAATTTGGGTTCCCAACGGCGTTAATCAACAAGATTTCGTAGAATCGCTAGTACATCGGAGGGACTACCTTTCCGCCATTTGATTGGCCAATCGAATATCCGAAACGATAGTTTCCTACCCTAGTACTACTTATCTGTACGCCGAGGCGTTCTATTAACTTAGCAGTCCTTCCTTCTGCTTTTTGCTTTTTGAGCAATAAAAAACATGATCAAAGGCAATTATGGATTTTTGAAAATTTGTCTTTGATCCTTGCATTTTCAACTCAAACTTTCAAATTGACGCTACTCTGACAAGATGAAAATTCTTCAGGCGTGCTTTTGATACTTCTGTGCTTATTTACTGATTTGGAAGTTTTTAAGCGATATTTGGTTTTCTCATACTTGTAAATCTATTGCAAATGTTTGTTGTTAGCAGGTATTATAGAAGCATAATGGTTTATGGGAAGAAGAACCAAAGTCAACTTGCTTTAATATAGCCATGCTTTCTTCACCAAGTCCTTTTACGAATAACCTTTTTGAAGAAGGCGGAGTCGTGTTACACTCTTTGAGTGCTGGAATTTTTTACCACTCATGCACGATAACACTTTCACGTTTCTGATACGCCACAAACACCAAAAAATATAAAAATTGCTGACGCATTTCACCGTTGGCATTACCCATATTACCCAATTTATAATCTATTATTATTACGTTTGGCCAGACAGTGATTTGAAAATATTGTCAGTGACCGTAAGGATAAAGTAGGGCCTAATTGGGGATTTGTGAAGTAAGCTTGTAAAGATTGTAAACAAACATATATTGAGCAAACAAAAAAATCAATCGCCACGTAATTCAAAGAGAACTTGGCTCACCCTACATTTGAAAAGTTTGAAAAATCAAGTGTAGTTAACCATATTTTTGAAAATGACCACAGAATAGACGAAAACTGTTTAAAATTATTAAGCCAACTACATTCACGAAAGTCCAGAAATATTAAAAAGAGAAATGAGGCAATGAATCTGGATCACCGGTCTATTCAGAACTCGTCCCTCTACGCCCTTATGAAGTCAGATTAGTCAGAGAATGGGCGTGGGAAGCGTACGATTAGATAAGTTATAAATTAGTGTAGCTGTAATTTTCACCTTACTTTAAACTTGTTTAGATAATGCCAACGTGGTTAACGAACCGCGTCAGCAATTTTTGTCCTCTTTCGGTGTTTGTGGGGTATAATAAACAAGATATTTGGTTGACACATGTTAAAAGTCGGTCAGTTTTAAAGTTGACGTAGTTATGCACACTCTTTGAGTGTTTTCTTGCAAATGCTTTTAAAAATAGGTAAAACCGGTTCACATAGGTAAACGAGTACACTATGCTTGACCTTTTTGGAGACATTTACCTAAAAATGTACAAGTTTTGACAAGTGTTTGCCGTCTTTACCACAATATTAAGGTATATTACACCTTCAAAATATTTTCAACAGACAGGCAATTAAACAGACATGTCAAAACACAGAAACAGCAAACCTGCATTTTCGCATTCTATAAGTTGTGAAGTGCTAAAAAATAAGCATGAAACTGGATATATGTTAAAGTGACCCTTTCTATTTATGACTAACAATTCATAGTCAATGACAGTGACAATGTTCCAAGTTTTAAATTATTAATTTTCTAACAACTCATATACTTTCAGACAATAATCAATGCGGAGGCAGTACTTTAACAAATTCCGACTACTACGGAACGTCTCCATACAGAGTCCAAAGGCACGCAGCCAACATCAGGGAACGGAAACGGATGCTGAGGTCTGCTATTGGACCCACCGGGTACACCCGTCTTGATATGTGGCTTGCTTGCTATTTGTTCTGTATTTACGTAGGTGATTTTGATTTTTTTGTTAGTTGTTTTTGTGTAGTAGCTTGTCAATTTTGGTTTAAAAGTAATCTATCGTTTTATTTCCTAATTGACATCGGTTTGTAGCAGTATCAACTCTGCATTCGACGAGCTGCGTATGCATGTTCCCACTTTTCCTTACGAGAAACGTCTCAGCAAGATTGATACTCTCAGATTAGCTATAGCCTATATAGCTTTGCTTAGAGAAGTTCTGACAGCTGACTGTGATCCACTAACATACGTAGAAAGGTGTTTAAGAGGGGAAATTAAAGCAGACAGAGCTAACTGGAATACAAGTGGTAATTTAAAAAATACTTAATTGTGCTATGAATTAAAAATTATTCGTATGCTTTTTGCAGATCTTACAGCTAGATTATCTTGGATCAACTGGGAAAATCTTGGAGTGAGTCCTAACAGACGCAGCGCTCTCACTTCTCTAGCACTGTCTTCAGATAATATTAATCATTAATTATGTTTTCTAGTTTTCATATGTTATGTGCAATACTAAAATAATAATTAGTATTTGTTGTTGTTTCAAATATTATCTGTTATTAAAAAATGTACCCCAAACACATGTTTATTTTTGCACCGAAATGGAGAAATTCATAACTTTAGATACAAATAACACAATACAGAAATAGATGTTTAAGAATCATCGATGGATATGAAAAAGTTACAATTGTAACATGCGTTTTATTTCAGGTATTAATAATACAAAAAAAAAATCAGATTGTCTTCGAGGAACAAAAATAAAATTGTTTAATAATTTTACGGAGCAGAAGTATATATTAATTTTAAGATGCAGTTGCTGAAGTATATATATATGCTAAAATGTAATCGGCATCTATGGTAGTTTCGAAAATAATTTTTTCAAAAATACTTAGCAACAGATATGGACGCATAACAGGTAGGTGAAAACAGGGAAACATGCATTTTCGTATCTTTCGAGTCGCTTCTCTTCTTTTTCTTCGCGTTGTAGCTTTCTTTATTTGTGAGAGGTAAATGTCCAACACTCATGCCAACTTTCCGGCAATGTGGATGTGTTATTAGTCTATCTTCTATTCTTAACGATTTGTCTTCATTTATATTGTCTTTAAAAGACGTTTTGTGGCTGTGGTTTCTGCTCAGGTTTCTCCTACGTACGTCATTATTGGTCTTACAGATGTTTCCTCCCATTGTTATATACGTTTGATATTTATTTTACTGAATATTATCTTTTAGGTACCCTGGACACTGTAGTAACTCTGGCTCTGTTGGTGTTCCAGCATTTCTCTTATACTTCTGTTACTTGTGAATTGTGATGTCTACTCCGAGAGGTATTTAAATTTCGTAACTTAACTTGTTACTGTTGAATTTCTTTGCCGTTAATTCAAATTTATATAGCAATCTTTGCAGATCATTTTTTTCTTCTGTTATTATTAGCACGGCATCGTCAGCGCAGCAAAAATGTCAAATAAGTCTTCAAGTACTGAAAAAAATTATTCTCACAAGAATTACATGAACTGCCTCATGCGATTTAAGACAAACATTTTTTATGAAATTAAAAAGTTTTAGTATACGAAGTAAATGATTTTAATTTAACAAAGTAATTGTATTCGAAAATTTGATTCAGATAAGTATTTTTGCTTTTGTTTTTTGATTAAGAAAACTGCCAGTTCAAAACTGAGAACTAGAACTAGGACGAGAACTTTCGTACCTACATAGTATGGCAATGTGTAAAAAACACTGATATTTCCATTTTACATGTGATCAAATAAAAATTTTCTCTTTGGATCTCATTTTTTTTGCAAATTTGTGTGAAAATTAACTCGTAGCTGTTGCTTTTGGAAAATTACACTCGTCTCCTTCGTCGACCAGTGTGATTTTCGTCGCAACAGCTACTCGGTAATTTGTGTCACAAATTTTGTCAGAAAAAATCAGACCACTTGTTATATTATATTTGAAAAAAAGTAAAACACAATTTACAAAATACTTATGTATATACCAAAAACTTTCAGATACAAAGAAATAGAAATACTTAGAAGTGCAGATACATAAAGCATCGAGATAGAATGGGAGGAGGGAAGATAGTTTGAAAAAGCGTCGGGTAAACATAGTAAAATTTTTCTCATTATCTCCTTCGACAACAACTACAAAGCGTCCAGGTTTATTGATCTTAGGATCAGGAATATGTGCTATTAGAATGTTATCTTGATCTTCAATGTCATCGAGTTGTATTCTTGATAATTCGTAGGATCGACAGGATCAAGGCACGCCAAAAATAAGAGGAACACATTAATTTAAAGCATCAACCCATTATAATCACTTTCATCAATACGAATTCCTTGTCGGAAAGCATTTTGATTTTCGTTTTAGTTAAGCAAGTGGTTTACAAAACTGGCTTACATATCTATCTAAATTTTGCTTCAACCACCTTACTGCTTTCAGCATAGATACAGTAATTGCTCCAAAGATTTGTAAATTTAATTTTTTCGTAAAATAAGCGAGAAATACATTGTATGTGAGTGAAGCCACTTTTAATTCCACACCAGCCTTCGAAGATTTTTAATGCCTTTTCATATCGCTCTTTTGATTTGGACGGTAATAGATCTTGGGGTCCGTTAACTTGGCAACACCGAATTAATGAATTTTACTTCAAAAGGTAGTACTTCGTTGTTTTAACCTTGCACCATCAATTAAAAAGCTAGCACCATCTAATTATTGAAATAAAATCCTTTTGGTTTCCGGGGGAGAGGGTGGAGAGACAAGCTCTCGGACATTATTTTTTAATAGTCTGTGAAAAGTTGTTCTAAATAGTTTAGACCTAGCACCAACTAGCACCATTAATTTCATAGCTAGTACCACTCTGCAAATATAAAAAAAAAATAACAAAAACAAAAACCGACCTCTATTTTTCTCTTTAATAGTAAAAATCAACAGATTAATAGTTTGGAGCTAGTACTTTTATTAATTAAATAAAGTCATATAATAAAGCGTTATATTTTCGGGTAAGGGGGGGGGGCTAAGTTAATGATAAACCCCCAATATAATTTAACGACAACAAAAAATAAGTTACCATCCAATAGTTTAGTTTAGAGTTAGCGCCAGATAGCACCATTAAGCAAACTAAATAAAATAGTTTTTAGTTATTTACAAAACATAATTGCCAACAGTGGCCGGAAATAAACCTTTTTGGGGAATTAATGCATTACAAATATTATCAATTATTTATAAAAAAGTAATGTTTTCTGCATGGATTTTTAATGCGAGCAGATTAGGTACATTTTAATTCACGTCACAAGTCCGGGAACACATATTTTACAGTATGAGTGAGACCAGAGGTGAGACGTTCAAAACTCGAAACTTATACTGTAAAAAGTCTTCTCGGACGTATGTCGTTATGTATTTTGTTTCATACTGCCACGAATTTTATTTAAATAAAGTTTTGCAATTAAATATTTTGACAACTGGGAGAAGAATTTTAATCTTGTCACTTTTTTACACTTCTAGCAATGACTTTTTAGCAAAATTAATGTTGAATAGTGGATTTCAACAGTGGCGGCTCGTGACCTTTTGAAATGGGAGGACACAATTTGATTAATGAGTTAAATTTGAAGATATAAAACAGGTTGTTATTACCAATTAATAGACGAAATTGTGTGTCGGAAATAAATACAAAAATACATTCAACAAAAGTAAAAAAGGATTTATCCACATACCTTTTTGCCTTCGTCAAAATTTTACGTCGATGGCATCTAAAAGTTCATTTTGGACAGTTTTAGACGTCCCTTTAAAAACCGTTGCTTCTTTCAAATGATCTGATAAAGCAGAGTCCAATTCAGCCATAAAATCAATCAGACCTCGAAGTATATCTGGATTTTGTGGTTCCCCACTTTCGTCATGTCCACGTAAAGCAAGTTCAAACACCCCACAAAATTTTATGCACATTATCAATCGGCATAATATATGGCGATTTTTGTCAACCCTTGCGTTATGTGCCCGAATATTATTAATGTAGGCTGTGTGGAGTTGTTTCCGAATGTCTGTATTACCGACAAGATTATCCAAGAATATTTATCATACCTGTTTTACGTCCATCTCGCGCAGCATGAAAATTAAAACGCGCGATGGAGTTACTCCTGCTCAGCACTGTCAGAACGGGACGGCAGTCCCTTTGAATGAGGCGGCTAGGACGTGTGGTTTTCATGGCAACGGTGGAAACAAAACGTCTAAATCAGCCATGATTCGATCTCTGTGCTCGGCTTTTATCAGCAATAACATATCATATTTTAAAATAAATAAAAAGCAATTTAAAATTGCTTATACAGAGTGACTGAATGAGTCAGTTTATTTTATTGATTAAATCGGGAACGGCCCACTCCATTTTCCCGAAAATTTAGAAATACAATGTTGTTGTTATTATTTTTTTTGCATCTATCCAAAGTGATATATTATTATGTGTCTTTGCAAAAATGTTGATGACGTCATCACAAAATTTTGTTAAGGGAAAACTCATTTAAAACCTACGCGCAGAACGCTTCTTTAATTTTTTTATTGTGTTTCAGCGGTGAGGGAAATTCTGTCGAAATAACATTCGACCAATTTTTGCTTTTACGACATTATGATAGTGTTTTGGTTGTATTTTTAAATAACGGTGCTTTTCCAAAAATTATTAAGCACCACCTCTCTATATACAACTCTCACTATCTCTATATACAACTGTAGTAAAAAATACGATCTGGCATGCAAGTACTTACAGATTTGTTGTGTTGGAATCTGGAAAGGAGAGCATAAGGAGAGTTCTTTAATATTAATAATAGTAAAAATAAATTTCTCATATTCTTGGAGTTTTATTCTAATTTATGTTGGCCGGTTGGCGTTCCTGTTCTTATATTTTGCGCGCGTAAACTTGTTTGACAAGTAAACCTCAACTTCCCAAAAGAAACATAACCTAAACACCGCAAGATTTTTGTATGTTATTTATATTTTAAATGTTGTAGTAGTGTTTAAAACAATGCCACAAAGTTCAGAACGATTATCACTAGATTATATAAACCTCTCACAGAAGTGGTCGGAGGCAGTACCAAATTATAATAAACAGTATTTTAATATTTATATTGTTCGGTTAAAAGAAATGACGAAGTTACTAGAGCATCGAATTGAAAAGAAATGGGGCAAAACATATCCAGTGTGTAAATTGCATAAGTTATCAGAAGAAAAACACGCAAAATGTGTTGTACTTGGTACTATTTTTAAAAATCAGAAGTTAAAACCGTCTATATTGAAACAGTTGGCTGAAGGAAATCAGCTTGTGCCACAACCCATCATTACGCATTTTACAGATAAATCCGACCAACTTTACATTGAAGATGAACTACAAAGATACCTTTTAGTTAGTATGTGGTAAAGGGTAACATATGTGAACTGTTGTAAATATTATTTATTATGTAGGTTGCCTCCAGTGTGATAGCTTGGTTACGGGAATTTCCTGTGCTCTCCTTGGTACTGGAGATGATAAAGGTAGATTCGTAGTGGAAGATTATGTCTTTGCAGGATTCAGAGAACAAGTCCCAAGACCACTTTTTGAAGATTCGGCCTATGTAGTATTTATAAGTGGTCTAGACTTAATTAATAGTGCAAAATTTGCAATTAATTTACAACTTCTGATACATTGGATTTCTGGACTTGTTGGTGACCTAAGTGGCATAGAAACGTCGAGAATTACACGTGTCATTATAACAGGCAATAGCGTTAGAAATACACCTGAACCTGTGAAACCATCAATATCTTTGTTGTCTAGACTACCTGACTCTAATGAAACCTTTGAAGCTGTGAAATTGTTGGACAAGTTTTTGCTACAGTTAGGTCAAACAATAGATGTAGATGTGATGCCTGGGACACATGATCCTTCAAACCACATTTTACCGCAAAAACCTATGCACTATTGTATGTTTCCTGAGGCATCAGTATATAAATCAGTGAATCAAGTTTCTAATCCCTATTATTACTCCGTTGGTGGAATTAAGATATTGGGAACATCTGGACAACCTGTGGATGACATTACAAAATTTTCAGAGATAACTGATCCATTGGAAGGTTTAGAATATTGTTTAAAGTGGAATCACATAGCTCCAACAGCTCCTGATACCCTCGGGTGCTTCCCTTTCTATGAATCTGACCCATTTATAATTGATGACTGTCCACATGTTTTCTTTGCAGGAAATCAAAAAGAATTTTCAAGTCGTGAATGCATAGGTAAGTTTTTATTATATCAAGATGAGAACTGTTATTTCAACAACTAGAATAAAATTTCTGATAACATTTACTTGTTTTAGGTGAAGATGGTCAAAAAGTCACTTTAATCAGTGTACCAAAGTTCAGTGAAACTTTGCAAGCTTGTATTTTAGATCTGAAATCTTTACATTGTCATCCAATTACTTTTCAAACGTCTTAAATATATATTTTCTTTGTATATTTTAAACAAATTGCTTTATTTTTTATCATTTACTCCTGGTGATCCTTTTTATTGTAAAATGTGTGCCAGTAATTTTAATTGTCACAATTTTTCTCCACAAACCGCGCGTTATGGCGCGACTTGTTTTAAAGGTGAGAATTGCCAGCTGCTTGCTTTTCCATTAAGTGGAATTTAACTTCACTTGCTAGATAGAGTAGTCCATTAGAGCACAAAGTAAATATACGTGGTAACACTTGTTAACTGAATTCACTGAAGAAAAAAAACCTAATGTTTATAATATATCATTTATTAATATTACATAAAATAAAGAAATAAAACAATAAATTTTGACTATATTATTTTAAATATATGACAATCTAATGAATTCTTTTTCTACTTCAAATGACAAATTTACATATTTTATATACACTACGTCATAAAATCTCAATAAATGAACATACATATTGCTTCTAATAAAGAAATTAAGATTGCATTCTTGAAAAAAGCTGAGAAGTGTGAAGGAATGTAGAGATAATTTGAAAATATGTATGTGTATGTATAATATTGGTCCTTATGTGCAAGTATTGCTTTTACAATATCATGGTTATTCTACATTCTAGGAAAATAATTTATATATAAAATGACGAAAATAGGATCTATAAAATATTTTACAATATATATTTCAATAAAGTTCTATATCAAACAAAAACCATTATCTCTCTCTAATAATTGAATCACGTTGTAAGCCACTACGTTTGAAAATCAAGACATTCAGTAGATCTTAAATAATTAGTCGTTGTACACGCACATGTCAGCTGCAGGTTGGACGGTACAATTAGATATGCAAGATAAATTAGCAGACTTGTATATAATTTGATGGGATTACATTATACAATAACGAGATATAAGAATCCACTAAGAGTATCTTGTATATTTGGTCATTTTGGTCAAAATATAATTAATATACGGTTTTTAAAATCTATCACACATTTAACAAGTAAAACTCACTAGAATGAGTAACAAAGATTAATGAACAAGTCCCGAACTTGGTGATCCCAAATTGTCAATTTCTCTTTGTGCCCTGCTTATTTTGCTTTTGTCTTTTGGAGTTTCTTGTTCGCCTGTTTCCATCGCAAACATTTTCATTTTTTCCTTAAAAGAAAGCTTCTCAGGAACCGCTGGCATTGTTAAATTTTTTTGTTGCGCCTGTTCGGCTAGTCTTCTTGCTCTGGGATCCCTATATACTTCCTGAGCTCCAATCACTCCCGGGGTGGCCGTTGAAACACCTGGAGAAGCATCAGTTGGTGTTGTAGGAGAGGCAAGCATTGATTCGGCCTGACGAATAAAACTCTAAAAAAAACGTAAAAGAACGTGTTTAATAACAGTAATTATATTAAGCCGGCAATATATTACAGGTGAAATAATCGTGTAAATATTGGTCTAAAACTATTGAAATAGAACCTCCCTCACCGCAAAAGTACAATAAAACTAACAGTTTCTTATATGGGTAATTATAAAATATGATTTTGAAAATTTTATTCGTTTTAAAAGTTAAAGTAAAGATATGTGGAGCGTTACAGGCAAAGAGGCATAAGCTAAGAGTTTTTCACAATAAAATTTTGTAACGACGTCTTCAACTTTTTAACATAAAATTTTAAACATGTTGTCAACCTGACAAAACAAATCATAAACATTAATAGTTACTCAGTATTTGCAGATGCAAGCGACAAAAAACCCAGGCTCAGTGTCTTTTTGAATTTACATTTTCAGCAAATGGATAATAAATAAAAGTCGTTTCACTGTGTAATGCTTCTCTGTGCTCAAACCCACGTGTCACCCTTACATGTCAAGTATTGAAAATGAAAGAAAATACGGGGAGTTACCTGAAACATATTTTTTTATTATGAAGGAAATTCCTTCCTAGAGTATACCAAAAACATGGTCTAAGACTATTTAGACACAACTTCCCTCGCTCCTGAAGTACAGTAAAACAAATCCAGCTTTTTCGAAAAATTGTAAGATTTAATTTTGCTAATTTTATTTTTCTTTAGGATTAACCCCTATAAGTTGAAATAAAGTTATGTATGTAATCTTAAGGTAAAGGTACAGAAGCTTGCTATGGTTCATTAATTTTTTTTTTAGTCACCTGTGGAAGCAATTCCAAAAAATATGAATGCAATGATAAATCAAAGTATAGGCTGAGTATTTTTAGGGGGCATCATTAATTTTTTGGGGGGGATAAACCGATTTGATTAAAAATTTACCAAGTTTATGGTACCTGTAAAACATCTGCAAGATTTCAGCATATTCGTTTTACAATTTCAAAATTAAGTTGCAAAATGTTATTATAAAATTTTGATTTTTTTCCAAAAGTCTTGAGGTTTCGCGTAAAAACTCAACACTGATACATGTACTAAGTTTCAAAACAGTTAATTCAGTAGTTTTTATGATACATAATGAAATATTGTTCTACAATTTGAATTGTTTTCTCAAAAATTTGCACAGGTAAACCTTTTAAAAATTTGACTATATTGATAAGTCGTAAGTGGTACAAGCATATTTTACACGGTTGATATAGTTTTTTAAAGGGATGGACAAGTTTGTATAGAAATTATATTATGAACTATGCATAATTTTGTCCGCTTTTTTTATAAAATTAAGAAGTATAATCACACTTCTGACATGCCATCACTATTTTTTTGAGATAAATAGATACATTTTAATTCCCTATTTACGATAACCTTAAACCGTTTGCAAGATTTCACTTTTCAGAGCGTTCAGTTTTGTATGTCCTAAGGTGAATTTTCTGATTTTCTTAAATGTAAAAAATAAAGATGAATGTGAATTAATCAACCACAGGATATTACATAACCTTTAAAGAGTCTTTACGTAACAACATTTTGACTAAAAAAAAAAAGTATTGGTGGGCAAAAAAAACAAGTTCTGATTTTCGTTTAGCCATCTACACGATACTCCTCAAAGTTAATGTAAAATTCCATAACAAAAAGACGTCAGAAAACGGAAACCGAGATCGATATTTTCGTGTTGTTCAAATAGTAAAACATTGAGAAAAGTTGAAATTAATCTTTCGTCAAACGAGATGTTGATAGTCGAGAAATAAAGTTACTATTTTCTTACTTACATTCGGATCTTCTCGTATTGTTTCCTCTATTTGTAGCGTATTTGGAGGAGGTTGTGGAGTGGCTGCAGATGTATCAAAAGAGACCCTTTTTGTATTTTCTTTAACTCTCATGGACATTACTGCAAAACTAGAACCTCTTTCAGGTGGTGGAGGTGCAACAGGTTCTGGTGGTGGTGGTTGGATATGTGCAGTAGTCGGAACTCCTGGCTTCAAAATCGACGTCGGAGGAGTTTCCTGCTTACTGACAGGTACAGTATTTGGAGCTGCAGGCTGAGTCATACTAGGACTTGGACTTTCCTGCAAACAAATGAGTTAATTGTATTGTACGTAAAGATGACGCAATTACCTTACCTTTTCAGTATCGTCGTCATCTTGCTCGGCAGCTTCCATAGCTCTCCTTTGAAACTCCCTTTCCAGTTGCAACACTCTCAATTGTTCTTCTTGCTGAGGCGTCCTCTGCGGTAAGGCTAACAATTCTCTAATCTGTTGTTCCTGCCACTGTCTTGAAGCTTCCCGTCTAGCTTCCGCTTGTCGTTCCTGTTCTTCTCTGGCCCAAGGATCCCTTGGAGTTTTCGTAGACGTGACAGTCGATGTTGGATAGAATGCCATTTTTGGAGGATCTTGACTACTGGCGGAATATAAGGGATGAGTGCTGGTTGGTGGTAATTCTGGGGGTTCGTCCGGTTTCTTCGCAGGTTTAGGCGCAACCGGTGGAGATTTATACGTTGGAGAGGTTGGCGTATTTACTTGAGGGTTTGATGCAGGATAATATTGATTTTGTTGATGATAATTTGGATAGCTTTGTTGTGAATACTGTTGGTTTAAATTGAGGTTTTGCATACTTTGTGTATTTTGAGCCATCTGCATATTGTAATTTGGAGAATAAGGCGCATTATTATAGTATTGTTGATGTTGGTAATATATTTGATTATTTGGCGAGTGTTGATATGTTTGATTCTGTGGCTGATGGGAAGGACCTCCTATTCTACTTTGTTTCTTTCTGTTTAAAATTTCTGCATTATCCACCATTTTCTGAGATCTTACATTGTTAGCCATACGCATGTCTAATTCTTCTTCATCTTTCATTCGATATAACGGTATTTCCACCTTGCTACTTTCGTGCGCTCTGATATTTCCACTACTGGCGTATCTCATCATATCACTATTCTGGTGGTTGACTGGATGCTTTAGCATGTCGTCACTTTTTGATATTCTCATTTCCCCTTGTCTATTTATATCTTCTTGCACTCGATTTGGCTCTGGTATTCGCGCATTGTTCGTGCTCAAGTATCTCATGATATCCTCATGACGAGAACTTTGTGATTGTCTTACGACATCTTCTCGTAACAAACCTCCTCCAATGTTATTATACCGACTTTCGTCCTGCCTTTGACCATTCATGTAATTGGGTGCGGTATTGTGTAACGGGCCACCGTAAGAATTGTTACTTTCCTTCATTGTCTGAGAGTGATAAGGTGGCGAATTGTACGTTCTGTTATGATCCTCCGCTCGTGGATGGTAATTGGTATTCGGGTAATTCTGTCCAGGGTAATTTTGAGGATGATGTTGATTAACGCTAGGGTATGAGCCGGACCTACTGTCGTCACCATGTAATTTATGTGTCGACGGGGGACTCTTCAAATTCGGAATTGATTGATGCAAATTGGAACGAGATGCATTCACAGTCATCGGAGGCGGATAATACGCTGATGCTGGCCGTTGTGAATTTGCTACGGATGATTGTAGAGAGTTTTGAGAACTTCGGAGGGCGGAAGTTCTGGAAAGTGAGAACAAAAATTTATACGTGACTAGCGTACAAATTGCACTTTACTGTGTATATTACATAAGTATGTAGCCAAAAACGTGGCAAATTTCGAAAAAAAAAAAAAGAAGAATAATATATTTCAAAAGTGGTGGTCAGGCTTTTGCTGTTTACTGCCACTAGAACAAGTTAACTAAGCTTACCAGACATTTAGAGCCGGTTGAACAAATTAATAAATATCGACTTCAGGTGTGTCTTAAGAGAGAAACGAGTAAAGTCAATGTGCTAAGACAAACCGAAAATAATAATTTTCTTGTTTAGCAGTCCTAACATAGATAAAATTGAGGTACGTATAACAATGGGAATTAAACAGTTACATTTGTCAAAAAAATTAGCCTTCAATATAAAAAGAATAATATTAGGACAGTGTTAACAATAAGTTTACTGTAAAAAATATTTTACTATGGGCTCTTGCTTAATAATAATTGTTTGCTATTTACAAGATCTATTTTTTGTTCGTTAGTGCAGATGGTCCTGGTACCAAAATTAATTACTGTAGTAAGTAATTCAACTAAATCTCGACGATTAAAGATGCATTTGATTTAATGAAAAAATGTTGAATTTTAAAACACTGTCAATAAATCTCAATTGAAGATAAATGATAAGTTAATTTGATACAGTTCCTACTTTTGGAATGACGATTGTTACTTGGAAATGAATGATGACAACTGTGTTAGTCAGGGGAAAATTCACATCAAAACGCTTTTAAATATTTGTTACCGAATTAGTTTTGAAACATAATACAGTGAACGAAATCCATATCTTCTTTTAACTGTTTTATCCTAGGTTGTTAGGCTTTATTAGGGTCACGAACGAAAAGCTGTATTTGAAAATTTCAAGAAATATGGAAGTTATAGAATGATATCACTACAACCTCTGCAATATTGAATTGTGTAACTAGATACTAATATTATATTATAAATACAAATAATTTGCGATTATTCTTGAAAAAATATATAAACGTGTAAAATTTAAAGACTCACTGCAACTAACGGTGACAGTATAAATTTAATGTGCCGGTTGTTAATTTAATTAGATTTTAAATAAAATAATTTTCCAATTATGATAGTCGCGGCAATTACACTTTTTTAAGTTTAAAACTAATTTTACGAAAAATCATATTAATGACCTGGCCTGACGTGAGCTGACTTGAAAAAGATTTTCAATGTTACTTTAAAAGAGGAAAGGATCCAGCCAGGCAGACAGATGTATTGCAGCCCACTTTGACAAAGTCGTAAAAATTACCATAAATTGAATAGTAATTAAGTTATAACACCACTATATTTTCCATCATATTTCACACCTGATTCATAGAACCTTTGTTCCTTCCAGAAAAACAATCGGATGTAAATAGTCATTACTATAATCCTATCTTATCTTTCAAGTGAAAGACTCAACAACAAACCCACGTGATCAGCGCGTGCTCAACTGCCCATTGGTCGATAAATTTGGGGGAGCAGAATTTAAAATTTCTCTACAGTGTAAAACGGGCTAGATAGTAGTAGCAGTAATCTTACGCGCACTCGTCTCCAGAATGCATTACGCAGGTTTCACATGATCACTGACTCTTTCGTTTGAACAGAGTATAGGTTGCTTAATGGTGGTGGCTTCCAAGTCAATGTTCATCATTTGGCCGTTTCTAGTCCAATGTATATACTAAGTAAAAACAACACCAAAAAAAAAAAAAAAATGGAATTGATTACTCTCTAATTTCCAGGGTTAACCTTGGTAGTCTACAAAATATCTCACTTGCTATTAATTTGTGTTGTTTCGTTATCAAGGATATTTTTAGTGTGACCTGATTAATTGCATACAAAATGATAAAACGAAAATATAAAATCATCCTGTAAAATTAGTTCTTATTTAGCAAATTTTCCATTAAGTATTAATGAAAACTTAAGACATAATTGAACCACAACAGACATCATGTAACAACTTTTGTGACTGAAGTTCCAATTAGGAACTCTGCTGTTTTTCTCAATTCTATTGTACGCAACAACGACGAAAAAAGATAGCTTGTTCGGCCAGCGCCATCTTCAGGATATACTTTTTGCAGAAGAGCATTGAAATGAAATGGAATCACCATAAATAACTCAGTTTTTGTTTCGTTTTGAATAAAATCCAAAAACAGATCAACTTTTATTTTTAAGGGGACACATTTTGAGCGGCAGTTGAGTATCCATTTTTCTCCTGATCTGTAGCTTTTTTGAGTACCTTTAGTGAATGGTTGACATAACCATACTGCGTTCCACTTTGAGTTGGCAGTGTAGAAAATCCATAAGCAAGACAATACTACCGATTTCTGAAGTCTTCCGATTTTTATGTAAGTATTACTCCTACAATTTTGTTGAAGTCGATTTTTTTCTTGAATTTTAATATTCATTACCTACTTCCAGCTTTGCTTTAGTTTTTTAACGGTAGTAGTACAAATAAACAGTGCTGTTTCTAACACTGCAATAGATAATTATTGCATGTCTTTAAATTTCTTTTAAAAAAATATTTCCTTGCCACCTGCACGACAGGTGTTTGGAAATTTTCAGCAAACGAGATTTTTTATTACTATAGTTAACACCCTGAAATTATTTTTGAAAAATTAAATAATCAATAACAAGAACAAGTTAGAAGAATAAATATTTGCCACTTTTTTAAATTTTTATACGATTCACTTGTACTCAAAATATGAAAGAATATATCTAATTTCCTGCATATGCTCTTTTCAACTGGTCGACCAATAATGATATCAACTTAAGAAAAATGTTGCTTAGATAACCAAAATATACTTAACCAAGTTTCACTACCTACGTTTGGCAAAAATGTAACCCAAATTTGTTACCCCTGATTTTAACCAACACTGAAATACTGGACCCTATTATTCGTTTTAATAGAAAGTATTAAAATATAATAAAATACTAAAGTAAAAAAAGTAGAAAATAAATTTGACATGATTGACGTTTGTGCAATTTAAATCAAATTGTGGCACTATGGCCAAATACTTCGGCATAGATAAAGTTCTCTCTGTTCCAAACATCATTAAAGAAAATGGGGGCCTCATGGCTTCCCTGTATAAATTATATAGAATGGATACGTTAAAAGTCGGAGAATGCGTCGGAATCGACAAATACGGTAATAAATACTACGAGAGTAAGCGATTTTTCCTATGTCGTAACCGCTGGGTGGAGTATGCACCATATTATAAGATGGAGTACGATGGTAGTCAAATTCCAGCGGAATGGCATGGTTGGTTCCACAACAGAACTGAATGTATCCCAGATCAGGAGCCTTTTAGACCGAACTACAAGTGGATGGCCGACCATACTGAGAACATGACGGGAACTGTAGGTCAGTACATGCCTTACTCAACGACTCGGCCAAAAATAGAACCCTGGATTCCACAGAAGAAGTGTTAATATTTTAAAATAAAAATTGTATGTGGTCAAAATAAATAACATCAATTTTTTTGTTATTTCAGTGTTTGCAAAAAAATGTTTAAATCATTCAACGGGAATTTGAAACAATCAGATAAAATTGATAAAATTCCAATCCACGCAATAAGATTAGAATGTCATTCTAAAGATGGCAATTTTTTTTCCCTGAAGACAATTGTTTACAGGAACAATTTCAATGTGTATTTGTTTATAAGGTGTTAGTACAGAAATTTTGAGGTCTCGTGAACTGCAAAAAGTTTTGAATTTCCTAACTGTTTTTTTTTTTGTGTATAACGGTATTCAAGTTAAATATGTTGCCACTCTCAATACATATTTTCAGACTGTAAACACAATCATTGTCTCCTGCCTTTTCCTTGCGTCCTTGTTTTCCACTGGTTAAATAGCAAAGTCTTTTAAAAGACCCCGTCTAGTGCATTCGCAAGTGAAGCACCGTTTTTGAGGGTAATTATGTTTTACCAAACATTTCTTTTGCAGAATATTTTAGTTAGTTTAGTAGTTGAACACCACTGAGAGAGTGATCCATAGTCGAGAAATAATTAAAGCGACAGAAGGACGCAAGACTTCCAGCTCAAGAAACAGGCATTTTGCTAACTGAATTCATCGAGCAAATCATTTGTCAGATCATGCACGTTACATAATGATATAGTTTTATAACTCTTCCAGGTCGTTGAATCCCGCTTCCGATCAACTTGCGATTCGCAAGATTCAAAAATTTGTTTACACCACGTACAATGCAAAAAAGTGTACCTCAGCCGGATGAAGCGTGTCCACATTAGAATATACTAGACAATAATACCAACTCACCTATCTCCCAAATGTTGCGGGCTTGGTATTTTGTTCCTGTAAACACTGAGATTCTGATAAAATCCCCCATCCTGTTGCAGTAGGTTATGCGTAGACCTGCTACGCAAATTGGCTGGGTTTGTGGATGGACCATTGGAAGGTGTCGTTGTGGCGCTGTTGGTGTTAATACTATTATTGGACGAAGTTCGGCTATAACCCGGGTTAAACACATCGTGTGGATTCCGAGATTGTTCAGAGTTTGGTGATATGTGATGAAGTGCTGGGACAGATTTCGAAGAAGGGATGGTGCGCTCTGAATCCACCCTCGATGGCAAATCTCGCTCAGACATGCGTCGAGGACCTAAGCAAAAATTAAATATTTAAATCTATAATGTCACAATAACCCGATAACATTGAAATAAAAGTTCCATGGAAATAAACAAAAATGTTGCATCAAAATTAAAACAACATAATCGCGTCTAAACTAGAAAATAAAGTCGTGCGCAACATTGAATGCCATTATCTTACAATCAAAAGCGCCAACTTGGTTATCCTTTAATGCAGCTAACCTAGCAGCGTAATCCTGTTCGATGTCCACGCAGCTCTGCGTCTTCCTGGCGGCCTCAGAACAACTCTTCAAAATCGGACAATTTTTTTTCGCATAGCGACAACATTTTCGTACAGTTTTTCGATTTTTGATGTCAGAACAACTTTTCCAGGTTTTCGGAATGTATTTTTTCTTCAGTACGATGATTTTTGGACTCTTCTTAGGTGATCTATTGAAAGTTTCACCGTAGTTTTTGTTTTTTTGATTATTTCTAAAAAAACTACTACGTCTAGTTACTACATAAGAATCTGGAAATTTTTTGTACACGTTAGACTTTTTCTGTAAATGCGTTAATCTTTCCAAACTATCGCATCTAACTAATTGACTGTTGAAGGATTTTGGTTCTATGATTTCACTGTGCCGTCTACTACTTGGGCCCAAGTTTGGTGTTTTTTGTAAATTATATTGTAAATTGTGTATGTTATTAAGACACTCGGTTTCCTGTAAACGTTCTTTGCTACTCTTCAAAATACCTTTTGGTTTAGTAACTTTATGTTCTATTGGAGCACTTAAATCTTGTTCGTTGGTTTCGCACTTACTAGCAAATTCTTCATTGAAGATACAGTTTCTAAACTGACACTTGTGCAAAAAATCACGTTCGATAATCTTTTTCTTATCTTTAATATCATTATCTGAACTATATTTGGTAATAAAGATGACATCATTTTCCTTGGTTTTTTTGTTTGGAGATAAATTTGGTTCAGAACAAAACTTTACACTACTCGAGCGTAAATTACCATTCAAAATTGATTTTTCAGATTTTTCAATGTTTTCTTTTTCTAAATGATCAGAAGATCTTGAAAATCTGAAGTTAAAATCACTTTTAGAGTCTGATCCATTCAAACTCCAGTCACGCAATAATTTCAATACCTCCAGTCGTTCATACTCTGTAAGTTTATTAGTTAACTTCTCTTCACTCACGCTTTTACTACCATTTCCAAAAGGTTCGCTTTTATTTAAATCGGGAAAACTTATTGCTTTAGTTTCTAAACTACTAGAAAGACTGTCGACTTGTCCGTGGCGAACTTCATCTGGCGATTTCCAGTTTTTATGTTTGATCGGAGTGTCTGGATCTATGTGACTTAAATCTAGATTAGATTCGTGTACGCCGCTGTTAATGCTGGAGGTGGAACTCGACAAATCCTGCATAGAAGATGAGTACAGTCTCTGTTGTCGACATTTTTTTGCACTAATACTGAGAAACTTATCCGTATCTGAGACTTGATCGATATCGACGTATGGATTTTCATGAACATCTATCGAGTAACTTTTCTGCTGAACGAAACTGTTTGCTTTCTCTTTCCATGACTTGTTATTAATACGCGAATCTGCGTCAAAATCTTCGACTTTTTTCATTTCGAAATTTGTGCCGGATTCGTCATAGCCCAAAATAATATTTTTAGGAGATGGTTCTGAAAAATCAGTAACTTGTAAATTGAAAACCGGTTCACATTCCACTTCTATTCGAGGTATCGTAAGTTTTCTCGATTCTTTTTTGTATAAAGTGTCGTCCGAGTTGAAAAACACATTATTTTTTGGTTTGGTGGCTGGTGGTGTAAACAAGCGGCAATTATTCAGGCTGTTGAGAGACTCTTGAGAACTTTGCAGCCCGTAATAAGATTCACCGTAGAAATCCCCAGCTGCATGTACAAAAATGTAAAAACCTCAGATAAGGAAACATGTATGCTGAATTTGTGGACTCGCGTAATTAAGTACTAACTGTATGGTAATACATTATTGTAAATATTGCAGACCATAACTAACTCCACATTTGCTACCGTGTTAGGTGCAACCATTATTAACATTCGCTTCTTTGAAAAAAAATCTAATTATATATTACAACTACTTTTTTGAATAACATATCAACTTGTACTATAAATTAACTTCGGATATAGCGTTTCAAAAAAGGACGTTAAAACACAAACAAATTGTTCAATTATTTATTTTTAATTCACGAACTAGCGATTACTAAACCGAGCAAGATAAACATATTTATCAAATTTATATTTATATAATCATTCTATTGAAAGTAAAAATGATTTAGACTGTTTTATGTGCAGACACCAGAAAAACACACACTTATGATTCTTATTTACATATTTGGACATCGCAAAAATGCAAAATTTTACCGTTACTTCCAGCGAAGGTATTATTTACGACTATTAACTTACAACATATCACATGATTATAAATGAAAAATTTAGAAAAACTGTTGGCTAAAATGTTAAATATTCTTATCGAACGCCCTCGTTTCTGTACCTATTTTAATTATACTTCCAAATAAGATTCGTTATTCAAGAGAATTGTAAAGCAGTTGAATAAATACGAATGTAGGCGACTTAATTAGTGCATAAACGAATTTGTAATATTCATGAATGCGGGCATAAGAATCACGCTCAGATTTATTTCAACAAGACGAACACTTTTTCTATATAAAATTTAAAATTTTCAGCACGGCACCAATGACATTTCGAAATGTTGAACACTGATATTCTCTGCCCACTGAAAGTAAACTACGCAGACTGTAAATTGTAAATATTTAAAAAAACTGGTTGCAAATGGCATCTGACCTGGTATTTAACAAGCAGCAATTACAAAATATTCTGCGCACCAAAAATAGCAATTAAAACAAAGCTGAACTTCATTTATTATAGTTACTTAATATATATATATATATATATACAGACGTCAACTCTCAATGGTTGTCTGCTTTTTACAGTTTTCAAATATAGACACATTTAGCTTTACTACGAAAAACTTTAGCAACAATATACAGCTATTAATATACCATAAGAAGCAGGACAGTCGTTTATGACGTAATTGAATCCACAATAATGGTCAAGTCAACATTATACTCAAGTAATGAAATAAATATGTAGTAAATATAATTGTGAAGTGTCGTAACGGAGAGTATTTGTACTTCCAAACGGAGTGAAACATTTTTTTGGGGAGGTAATACTATTCATCCACATGCAGCTTGTATTTACAGCGCACGGAATATTTTAATACGCATTCAAATTAAACCTGTAGCAAATTCGACTGAGCTCATTAATTATTATTATCGTCATTAATTTTCTGAACAAGATGAAATGATATATTTTGGTTAATATTTTGTTTCCAAGTCTGTGATTAATATCACATAAAAACAATATCTCAAACTTTTTTCAGCTACCTATAAAAAATATTTAGGTACAGATTTCAAACGAAATTACTTAACGCATAGGAAGACGCGTCTCCTTTTGTCACGTAAGCACACGCGTTGGTGAATTTGACCCACAGCAGTTAAAGGTACATTTCAGAGGTTTTAATTAACAAAAATAAACAAGATAAAATGTTTTAATGCTGTTGTAACTAATTTATAAATCTTTCGTAAATTAGAGTTTTTCTTTTAAAAAAATTGTCTATGGAATGTGACAAAACTCGACGCTGATCCTTTTTCGTATGCATTTATCAAAAACCTTGAACATATGTGCCTATTCTTTTAGCACATTTTATATAAAATCCCAAGCAAAGAGCGAAAGTATGCATCAGTGTGTACCTTTTTTGCAAATATGGAAAAATTGAAATTAAATTCCCAATAGTAGTATCCGCTCGATGCTTACGGATGAACTGCACAAAAAGAACTCATCTTCGAAACAAGTATTTGGTATGAGCCAAAGTAGGCAAGACAAATCTAGGAATTCATGAAAGGGCACGCCAAAATATAGGACACGGGTATTTTAACCACGCGCGTGCTTACGGGTTAAGTAACGGTCTATTTTCTAGACAGTATGAATAGTTGAATTTTTGTTAGCGTTTTGCCATTCTCATTTTTCAAGAAAATAAATGATAAATAAAGTACGTTTGAGTATCAAAGTAATCGGTTCGAAGGTTTTGAGAGTATATGTCAAATCAACAGCAGACAAACAGATGGAAACACCACATCTGGATTTTTGTTTTTCGCTAGTTGTGAAACATTAATAAGATATGAAATTAGACATTTGGCAAAATGATTCTATCACAATACTTTTCTTCGTTACCGCTTAAGAATGAATGTCATTCAGTTTAGTAGCGGCTGATTAGAACAACTTTTCATTTATTTCAGGACTGCAATCCATCATAAACAACTTTCGCCTTCATTTTACATAGTTTTATTACATTTACGTACAAATATTTTATATGCCATAACTCACCTCGATGAGGAGTCGGACTTGGCTGTTGAAGCAGTGTAGCAAGCCCATGGTATACAGCGCCACCTTTCGCAACTTCTAAAGTCACAACACTGCCAGTCCTTACAAGAAACTCTGCCGCTTTTTCTTGTGTAATACCCAATAAAGACTGTCCATCAACTGACAGAAGCTGATCGCCAGCGGCTAGCCGACCGTCTCGATCCGCGGCACCACCTGGTACTACCGACTTTATGTAAATGCCCAAACGTTCTTGCCCAGCTCCTTTCGCCGCAACTATCGACAAACCCATTCCACCACCGGCTTTATGCAACCTTATAACCTGCACCTATTATTAAATAAAAGAAAAGTTAAGTTCTTGAAATAATTTTAAAAATTAGCAAATTACTTCTGGTTGGGTTGTACTTAGTGCGCTTGGTGGTCTTGGAGCTGACATGTAAACGGTCCAGTGCCCAGAACTCGTAGGTTGTGCCGCTAAACGACACAAGCCTGACGCTTGTAGAGGATGCAAGAAATCGGCAAGGCCAGGAGGAACTCCTTGTACCACATCACAACTGAAACCATCATCTGGTAGTAATAACTGCAATGGCGGTGCTGGATCCTCGTAAAGCGTGACTTCTCGACCTTCGGCTCTTGCTAATTCGTCGGCTACACTTTCTGCGGCTTTTGCTGCTTGCTCCAGAAGAGCAGGCGGCGCTAGCTTCTCTCCTGGTTCAGCTGGATAAAAATAACTTGTACATATAATTTGAGGAATGTAATAGACGATTACCTTTATACTGCCGTAGCAAGGCGCCTAATTGCATAGAATTTAATTTAAAGCACGCCGATGACAAATTAGCTAATTCCTCTGGAGTATATTTAGGCGCTTGCATCAAATGCGCACACTGGACAATTTTGGCGAGATGACATTCTGCGGCCAATTCCAATCCCTGTGATTCAGCCCACGCTTGTAAATTTCTCAGTCTATTAAAAAGTTTGTTTCCAAAAGTTCTCGTGCACAAATTACTGTTACTAATAACATTCGCTAACGCTTTCGCCGAAATCCAATGGAAAAGTTGCGAAAACAACTGTATCGTCAAAGCTGCATTTACTCGACATTTTCTCAGTAAATTCATAGCACCACTTAAAATATTTATAACTTCTCTGGGATGATCATCTCCAGCTACAGACATTAGGTGAGCCATAGCTGAATTCAATTCGTCTGTTAAACACGCAACTAAATTTTTGAAAGCCAACTGAACTGCGTCTGCAAGCGTATCCTGAGCTTGTATTGAGAAAGCACTCACATGCCTATCTGACTTGAGGAAGTGTAAAAGTTCGCTAGCGTTCGCTAACCAGAACGCCTGAGAGGTACTTTCGGTACTTCTGTCTTGCACAGTATGCCTAATTAACATTGCCGCATGTTGAAGTAAGACGGTGAGTTTATGGGCACGTTCCGTTGGTGTTAGTTCTGGTCGATAATGAGTTGATGCTCGGTAACGAGCACAAAGATATAAGGTGTAGGCTGGCGCTAGCCGAAATGTTGGTGTTGTTACATCCAAATGGGTGATCACTCGAGCCAAAAATTGTTCCTGAGGTTCTTCGGGAAATTCGAGTACTGCTGGAAGAATTGGATCTTGGCCTCGGGGATATCTGTCCATTCCACTCAGCCTATATGAAGAAAAATAAAATAACAAAGTTACAGGATTGTTGCCGTTTACAGAGCATTAATCGTGTTATTATATCGCAGTATTTTGAAACCATAGATGATATACTACAAAGGTACTTTGTACTAAACTCCATGATCGTTTCGATAAATGATTATGTCCTCACTATGCACACTCTTGTTATTTTGATTTGACATCTGAATAATAAAACTTTTAGGTAAACTTCTTAACTTATTAATTTCTGTTACTAGAGAAGTGAAATTTGCAGGAACAAAATGAATGTCCAAGATAAGTTTTATGCAACTAAAACCTTCATTATTAGTTTTCAACCGCAAAACTAAACATATTTTTCTTCACTTGACCTTGTTTACTGCTATCTGTGTCCTGCTAAAATATAAGGGTAATATATAACCTAAAAAGGGGGTACAAAGTAGTCTCTAATGTCACATGACGCATCAATTACAAGGTTTTTAAATATTATTGTGGTTACTGGACAGCTACAAAATAACCTAAAAATGCCCCCAAACCAAGATAAAAGAACAAAAGTTACTCTAGAAGATAAACTGCTCATGATTACAACTAGAATCATTGGCAACTTGTTAAAAATATCCAGAAGAGGAAGAACATTATCCGATCATGTCATTAAAAAATGTATCTAAAAATATAGCCAAGCCTGCAATTTATTTCCATCTAATTTCATTGTGGTAGCAATTCAAGTATTAATTAAGATAAAAGTAATTTGATGTTTAATACATACGTGTATTTCGTGGTATTATTTTTTTTTTATTCAATTTTACAAAAAAATCCTAACTACACTTTCCGAATGAAAAAAATTAAGCAGTGAAATATTATTTTGAATCTGCTACGATTAATACTCCTACTGGATTTCTCGTACAGTGTTAAGAATTCGTAATTATTTGGATGAATGAAATTTAAAACAACACAGTTAAAAAAAGAAAAATTGCATAGTACGATAAGAGAAAATCGGTAGAGGTGTTTCAAATTAAATGTGAACTATTGTCAATTAAAAAAAAACGGCTAATAAATTTCACTGGCATAAAACGGCGTGAAGCAGCTAAATTGTACGTGTAATTGGCGAAGCTAAATGAATGCCCTTCATGAAGGTATGATAGGGATACTAATTCATAATCGGTAATATCCGTAACATTTACTTTAAGAATGCCAGTAGAAACTGGCCATAATTATGTGCCAGTTTCTACTGCAAAAATGTAATTCCATTTATTAAAATGTCACTGGATCAGTTTAAATTTACATATGGTCCAAATACAAGTTTATTGTTACAATTGAATCATATTTGAAAAACTCTGGTACAGCTTTTCAAGTAAGTATGTAGGCCTATTGGAAATATATTTCAAAGTAGTAACTACTTAAAAATGCAAATAAAGTATTCTATCCGTAAAAATGTCTATGATGTCACAACGTAAAAGTCAATGACATCACAAACAAACAAGCAATGTGAAAAAACTTAAAGGAATAGTCGGGTATTATTTTGAATGTACAGCAGTATTTAAAATGTGACAATTCTAAATTAGCGAACACTAACAAGCAGAATGGCTATCTTTGTCCAAGTTTGGTTAATACATACTTACTACAAACTTATTAAACCGCTACTTTCAATATGGTAATTTTGTGCGTCTAAACAAAAACCTGATTACAATCTGAATTAATTGCATCAAAAATGTGATATTGTGTGATACAATTTAAAATTGTTATAAGTCAGTAATTTAAGTAAATAACCTTTCATACTGAACTCTTATGCGATTTTTAAGAATGTGTAGTTCTTACATACAGGCCACAGAACAGACTACAGGCACAGAATTTGAATTGTCCACCGCCGGTACCGTGTTAAGAAAATTTCTTTCCCGATATGAGACGCAAATCTGTCTCTCAAAGCAAATGAAATCATGACTTCTGAAATAATCAGAAAAAATCAGTTTTCATAACAAATACTAGTCACTGTTTCAAAAACAGAACTCTTTACAATCTGTGAATTAAAATGCTAAGTAAAGTTGCTACAATCACAAATACATATATGTAGTAACTTCCAAAAATAATTACTTTCCCATATTATGTCTATGTAAAAAATTGCTGTCTTTCGAAATTTCACATACGCAGGTCAAGTACAGGTAATCTGAAATATCACCTACACAAAGCACACAATTCAATGAATAATGTAACAACGCAAAACACGGTAATTTTTTCGGTGCAATTGGGACCAACCATCAATGTTAAAACGAAACACATCTTGCAATGCAGTTACACGAACAAATCTAAATAAAAGAATGATGAAAAGCACACATACTACTGACCTATTTTCGGAAGAAGATCCCAACGACCTGTTATCCTCTCTGGCCCCACTAGCTGTAGAAATTGTTTCAACGTTTCCTTCTAAATCAAATGTCGTTTCTATGTTTTCTCTGGATGGTTCGGTTGGACTCAGCGCGCGAGGTGATCGGCTATATGTTTGCACAAAGCAACTTAAAAACATGAAGCGACAAAAAAAAAAAAAGAAAAAGCGTTGCGCATGCATTAAAAAACAGATCAACCCACCTATCGTATATCCTAGCGTTATCCATTACAGCCGGATGCCTCATCCTGTCTTCATTAACTGGATCTAAAAATCGATACGTGTTACTGTTGCCAAATTTAACAAGACTTCCATGATTTAAGATCGTCGTTTGATGGATTCGTTGTCCGTTAACGTATGTATGGGCGTCCGCATGACAAGGTGTTAACGACGTAACCCCATCTGCGTTGGTGATGACACAATGACGTGGTTGTATGTGAGGGCCGTAGAGTTGAAGTGCTATACCATTTGCTGATCCAACCTGAGCATGCAAGAAAATACATATTTTACTGTTTACTGTAGATAACCAGCAACATATTGTCGATTTTATTGCATTTAGATAAAATATTATATATCAAGTGCGTGAAGTTATTGTTTTTGGTCGGAGGTGCAAGGACTGAATCTTAAATATTTATCGATGGTTGTAACATCTTAAAGGTCAAAAATGCTAGTCCCTTTCCAAGCACACAGACAATTTTTGTATGATGAAAGGCTTATGAACTAGTTTTAGTTTGTTTTGTCAATAATAAGTATTTTATTTTACTGTCTCTACGGTGCATATGAATTTGTTTCTTAAGTCTGCGATAAAATATATTGTTCTTTCTATATAAAGTACATCGTCAATGGTAATAGCACCTACAACATTCTTTCCACAGACAACTGGCCACCAGAAATAATATTGGATAGAAAATTACCAAAAGGCATTATTTTAAAGAAATTTAGATACAACACTTTTAAAACGTAGTTTTAAAATCTTGCACCTTTGTCGCTCGGATTTAAACTACTGTTTAGCTTTTAAAATTATCTATAAAGCACTAGTCGTCTTAATAGCTATAATTTATACATTCTAGTAATCATGTGGTTAATAAATACTGCAATAATACCACGCTAAATCTAAGTTAGTAAAAACTATATGCACAAGGACATATACTAATATCCTACATTAGAAGACAAAAAAGTAATTTGAAATTGCAAAGAACACCAAATTGTAGTCTACTGCCCGTATCAACAAAGTTAAAATTGCTGTTTTGTAACTTTAATTCATTTGAACTCCAAGCACGTAGATGCAATACATATAGCTACAATTTTTACGAAAAATGTAACTTTGAATTTCTTTCCAACTCATTCAATTATTCGTTGAGTAAAATTATTTATGTTATTGTGCAGCATCAAAAACGTCATAAAAAAGTGGCAATTCACCCGATGGATTCGATTACTATACTTCCTTTGCTTACGCTCGGCAAGTAAAAATATTGCCAACAATAAAAACCAAATATCGGGAACAATATCCCAATCCACTGGTATCCAAGCATTAAGGGTTTGTTATTTGGGAATTACTAATACTTTTTTTTAATACGTATATACTTATCGTTATATTTATATGTATACACAAACTTTAACCACGAGTTCATCGAGTTTCAAGAATGTCACAGTTGTTGCGAAATAACGAACAGCTCCATAAATACTGGGTGACTATTTAGTATTTTCAGATAGGTAGAGATGACATCAGCAATTTTCTTGTCATTCAGATGCATTCTTGTAATTACTAAAACTTAAAGACTGCCGGCCTTATAAAAGATGGCGTGAAATATTTAAAAAGCCAAAAACACATCTCACGTGCTTGTCATCTTATAAATTTGTTAAATAGTTATGTTCAAATTTAAGAGCAAATAAAATCAGATACCATCATGACCAGAAAATCTTGGACATCAATGTCATTTCACTGTCACAAACTGTTAACTGTTGTGCTTTTCTAGTTTTATCATTTTTGACATTGCGCATATGCCGACAATGGATGCAACGTCAAAGTGACAAGGCATAGACCACATCAAAATTTTCAAAATGACAAAAAAAATTATGTCCAAGATTTTCTGGCCGCGACTGTATGGGATATCGAAAATCGTTGTCGCGAGATTAAGTTTTTTTTTGGAAATACACTGAACTTCAATGATCTTTGCGAAAACTATCTGTTTATATACCCTGATGAGACCTAGATTTATGAAAATGGTTCAATGATCAAGATGTGGTGGGTTTTTATAACTAGTTATTCCAGCTCTGGATAATTGGCAAAGAAAATGTGTGGTGGTTATGCATAATGCACCATATCATTCAATGATTATCAATAAACTACCCACATTTTCTAGTAAAAATCCCAGATGGAGATGGTTGACTAATAATAAAATTGTTTATGACCAAAAAAAGCAGTTATGGAATCGCGTTATCACCCGATGGTAAAACTAGAGTTTGCAATTTATGGCTGAAAGAAAAAAATCTTGTTTGTAAAATCGTTTCAAAAAAAGTCATTTATACAATAATTTGCGGGCGTAAATAGTGCCTTTTGCCGCCTAAAGCTGAAAAAACAAAACTTGAAACTGCTATTTTAATTTGAAATTACAAACAATTAGCCAATTAAAATACCTAATAAATAATTACAATTAGAATTTCTGCGACTCCTCTTTGAAATAAACAAATAAAACGCTTTAATTAAACTGGCGGTCAGCAATGTTTTTCTGGGTGCACCATAGCAAAAATTCACTGAAAGTTTTTTCATCGATTTTCTTGACTATCGTGTTACAGATTTTGCTTCTTCGGCTAAAATAGCTATTTCTTCTTGTTTTCCGTTTTCGGAAATATTTTTATCGCACATTTAACTTCTTAGTGAAACACGTCAATTGTTAATAGGGTTTTAAATGTTTTTTGCATCACATTGGCAACCAACAACATAACTTGATTTTTGAAAACGAATTGTGCCATTTATTTTTTTTTTTAAGCTTTATGGTGGATTTAAGCGATTCTACAAAAAATCTTATTTGTATTTCGGGCGTGAACGAAGGGCTTATAAATTCGCCGCGGGCCAAAATCGCCTTCATCGCGCCCTTAATACAAAAAGAACTATTGCACTGTGAATAACTAATTCATGTGGACTGGAAGAAGTAAATTAATGGGAGCTACGTATGTGGACAATATTCCACTCGTGGTTGTAAATTTGGTGGAATCAGATTCTGATGACTCAGAATTTGAATTTGCAGACGAATTGGATTAATTTATTCAAATGTTCCTATAATGTAGTCAATACACCACTTATTTTTTAATTTTGTGCCGGTTTGAGTGTTCTTGCTAATAAATTATACATATATATAATTTCATAAATAGAAATTATACATGAGAAACAGAACATGCATTAGGGTAATAAAAACTAAACGTCTTTCAATAATTACTATTATTACATACTACTGAATAGTTAGATCTTTGCCATTTGTAAATAAAAAATAGTTCTCAATTTCAAACTACAATAACTTTTGTTTACTTTAAAATATAAATTACTGACATTTTATAGAAAATTAATTATTCTACTTGACACTTCAAAGCCGGTTTTAAATTAGAACAATTGTGTTCATAATTACATACCTCAAAAAATAAAGTTACTAGATTTATATAGGAATTTCTAGCCATCTAAAATGGATAATATTAAGGATTGGCGTAAATTGTCTAAATTAGTGGCAGCAATGTTAACATATTAGTTCACAGTTGTCAATTTTGAAATGATCACACCTAACCAAACTTCCTACATTAGTAAGGTCGCGAATAGTAGGCGACCGGTGATACCATTTCTTGCAGGGGAAACGGAGACTGTGAAGTCTGAGTAGGTTACTTACTAAGCTTTCCGTGTTTCGCATAGTTGTATAATTAGAAAATTACATACAAATTTCAATTTGAAATGAAATGTTTATGAGTATTGTGTATTCATTTTTTATTAATTCATTACTGTTAACTCAAATATATCTGAAAAATAGTATTTCATATAACCGCCAATTTGAGGATGTCACAGTAGGACTAGCGGTCTTTAAAACTGCATCCGAAGGGAGTGGACATACGCAGACATTACTAATATAGGGACATCTAATAACAAGCGTGATTAGAAAATGGCAGCCACCATGGAGGAAGGAATATAGTTATTATATTCATTCGTCCATGGCAGCTACTGAATTGGTGCTTTAATTTCAATTTAACAATTACGCTAGGTCATCATAACATTCTAAATACATAAAATACAAATATTAGTATTAACTAGGTATGTACAGGGTGAGTCCCCTAGAAAGGGATACCTCGAATAACTTCATTTATTAGCTAAAAGTAATGATATTAAATTTACAAACGGAGAATAATAGCCTGCGTCCATACATAAATTCACTGCTTAAAAAAAAACAGCGGAAAAAAGTAGATATTTTGCAGAAATACGAGCACTATTTAATTTTTTTCATTTTCAGATTCTAGTTTTTTACTTCAAAAAATGTTGGATTCAATTATTCAGAAAAACATAAAAAATGAAATAATTTCATGAGTTTCAAAAATATGTAGATGCTTCATTACTTACGTAAAAAGGTGTTTCGAAAACAAAGTGTAGAAAATATTACCTTACGAAAGCGAATCAAACGTATCAAAAGTAATAAATATTTAACTCTGCACAGGTTTTTTTTTCAATTTTGCAGTAAAATAAAAATTCAGATAAAAAAATTAACGATTTTTTTAGTGTTTTGCTTTCTATCAATCATTCCATGTTAATGAAATGATGCATGTACAGAAGCCATCCGTCTTTACTTATGAATAGGGATGTACCGACTAGTGGCCGACCAGTCGGATAGGGCGGACGCCAACTGGGCACCAACTAATCGCAGGTAAATTTTGCGGGTAGTTACGATAGGCCAACTCGGCACCGAGCCCCAAATAAAGATCGGTGAACTCGGCACTAGAGCAGCAGGTATGATAACAAGGGTTAATCCGCCCACTCCCCGAGACACCTTCCCTCTAGTCAAATCGTTATGTGCAAATAAATAACACAAGTCTCCAAATTTAACTTTTGAAAATTTGTTTTTGTTCTGATGGCTGTCTTGGGTAGTTTTTTTAGCGTTGATTACGTCTATGATATCTGTTTGTCGCTTTCACGTAAGCTTTATTTGTAAAACAAGATTAAAAGTGAATTTTTTAAGTAGTATAAGAATATTATAGAAATACTGTAATAGATTTTTTTCATAATCTGAATACAAAAATTTATTGGATGAGGTGATTTTTCTGTTAACAGGACTGCTACTACCGGTTCATTCATGAACTACCTGAAGCGGGTGGTTGGTGTCGAGTTGGCCTATCGTCAAAGGGTAGTTTTTAAAATTACCTGAAATTGCTGGTGCCGAATTGGCGTGTTTATTTTATGACGGATTAGGCTTGGTGCCGAGTTCACCTGTACCCGTCGGATAAGCCGACTAT